GGAAGACGATACAAACGGCGTTACTTTGTCGTTACGATTGAAATCAACCGAAGCTAAACCAAGTTGTACCTCTAACTCCAAGCAGGCTAAAAACGGTTAGATTTTAAATGGGCCTGGGATGGAGCCCATTAGAGCTTTTGGCCCATCAGTCATCGCAGCCCAATCAAAATATTAATTAATTAAAAGATTATGAAAGAATAATGATATATGGTTTTTAAATATGTTTAATGCTCGTAACTAGAAACAACTCATATCAATAGTTTTATTCAGGGATTTTTAATAAACGTTTATCTGGTAAGTGTTTATTGAGTCATTTTATCTTATCGAACGAACATGACAAGGATTAAAAACCTTACTTGATAAGAGCGACAACAATGATCGCAAGTCTTACCCAACAAGTAAGAATGCAATTGCATATTAGTATCAATCTATTTGTAGTTTCTAGTTGTTGATGGTTTTAAATGGAAGAACCAACTCAGGAAGCAATATGAGGGGAAAGATTTTTTATATTGTTTATTGATGCATATTAAAACATTTGACAAAAACTCTTAAAAATAATTTTTTATATTGTTTATTGCGTTACTTATTCCGTTACAAAATGATTAAATTTTTAAAACGCAGCCAAATTTGCATATCAGTAAACATTTTTTCTTAATATTAGAAGTTGCTAAGATTCGATTTTGCATGCATCATTTTGGAATGATATCTCAATTTTCTGTCTCGTAATGCATTTAGCTTATTTTCTGGTGTTCTCTCTTTGATCATCGCTCTTGGTCTTGTCCGGAATAGCTTCATGTTTTCTATGAGATTTTGTAGGTAACGAATGATGAAAAGGAGTTTGAGACGATTTACAAAGAGCGGCAAACAAGTTACGAGGAGCTGAGTGAAATAGAAATCAATTTAAGGAGGTATAAATCAAAGATGTAAAGGAAAATCATTTGACGTTTTGCCATGACCATGACTGTGGTGATTATAAGGGCACGATCATATAGAATAGAAGACATAATGTGCAACTCCAGTATATCATTGAATTTTACATAACTTCATTTGTCTTACTTGTTAAATAGCTTGTGACAGACAAAACATGCAACACCGAACCATGTATGTGGTCATGACTAGTGACCATGCCAGCTGTGAAGACGATGTCAAAGATGCAATGATAATTTATGTTCACTTACTTGTAACTTCAGCTTCGGGTAATCTTGCTTTAGTTGTATTCAATATTTTGTCCTTTGATTTGATCATTTAGTTGTTTGCTTATTTTATTTTCTTAACCAAACCTCTCTAGTTCGCTTTTGTTTACTACACCTCGTATTTCTCGGGTATTTTCTTGTATTGATCCAATTTAATTTTGATGTTATACTGCCTTTTAAAATAGATAAATAGATTGACCAAGAGACCTTAGAAAGTCAAATTAAACTTGGTTTAGTTTTTATTTAAAAATTAAATATCAGATTGATTTTTGAATCAAAGGTTTTCAGCTGAGAAGCGAATTAATTGGGTTGAATTTAGAATAGTAATAAATGGGACGTATGATACGGTAGTGGCAGTGGCAGTACCTATTACCCATGCTCATGCTCTACCAACCTGTCATATAATTCGTGTAAAATGGCTTAATTCTTGGAAGATGCCTCCTGTAATTATTTTTATTATTATAATTCTGGTGGGGCCCACATGCCTCCACAATGTACCCTTCAACTCCACGGTTCATTCTTCGTTATATAAAATCAAATAGTTTTTTTATCTATTTTTTATTTTTATTAATTACTATTTAATAACATATAAATAATAAAAAGAAAATTACATTAAAATGGAACCAACTTTCACTTAATTTCTATTTTGGGGAATCAACTTTCAAAATCGTCATTTTGGGAAACCAACTAGCACCTGATTTCTATTTTGGGGAACCAACTTTCAAAATCGTCATTTTGAGGAACCAACTTGCACCTGATTCCTATTTTGGGGAACCAACTTTCAAAATCGTCATTTTGAGGAACCAACTTGCACCTGATTCCTATTTTGGGGAACCAACTTACAAAATAATTACAGAAAAATAACTAAAATTTCTTTTTTCCAACAATTAGTACAATAAAATCTATTTTTCATTTCAAATATCGTTTTTTTTATCCATATATCAAATTAAACTTAAAAAAAAATCTAAATTACTACAATAAGAATTGTTTTTTACTAATGCAAAAAAAATCAATTTAATAGAAAAAAATTAATCGATGCAATAAAAAATAAATATTAAATATCACATTCATGATTTTTATATCTAACCAATCCGTATCAATTAATTTTTTTTCTATTAAATTGACTTTTTTTTTTTTTTGCATTAGTAAAAAACAATTTTTATTGTGATAATTTGGATTTTTTTTTTAAATGTTCAATTTGATATTTGAATTAAAAAAACGAGATTTGAAATGAAAAATAGATTTTATTGCATTAATTTTTGGGAAAAAAAATGAATTTTAGTTATTTTTCTATAATTATTTTGCAAGTTGGTTCCCTAAAATAGGAATCAGGTGCAAGTTGGTTCCTCAAAATGACGATTTTGAAAGTTGGTTCCCTAAAATAGGAATCATGTGCAAGTTGGTTCCCCAAAATGACGATTTTGAAAGTTGGTTCCCTAAAATAGGAATCGGTTGCAAGTTAGTTTTCCAAAATGACGATTTTAAAAGTTGGTTCCCCAAAATATGAATTAGATGAAAGTTGTTTTCATTTTGGTGCAATTTTCTCAATTATAAACTATAAATCTGTTGAGCAAGTCATTTATTAAAATGTTATTTAAAGTACAAAGCCTTAAGAAAATACTTTTTCTATTATGCCTACAGTTATCAATAATTATTATTAAAAAGTATTGACTATTAGTTATTATTGATCATCAATTATAAATTAATATTAACTATTTATAACTGAGTTATTATTAATGGTATTAATTGTTTTTTTAGTTGTATTATTATTATTTAATAGATTAGTCGGACAAAAACTCAATTACAATATTCTTAAAATATTTGTAGGTTATGTATAAATCAAGTTGTATTTTTACTATGTTTTATAAATAATTTTTTTTGATAAATGGTTTAATCAAATAATTAATTCAATTATTAATTATTATTATTATTATTATATTGAAGCATTATTAATTAATTAAGATATATAGTTTGACAAACTTTTCTTTTACTCATGTTATGTGCAATGATTATTAAATCATCAACTACTAGTTGGTTATATTAATTGTTGGTGATTTTAGTGTCGTCAAACTTTTTGGTGTAATTTTGATATACACGAGATCGATTAAGGCGATGAGACAAACATACGTAAGTTAGGAGGTGCGAAGTGCACACTTACAATGTTGCCCTATCACATTAGATAGCCATGAAGCCGGGTCAAGGTCGTCGCGCCCACTTGCGGGGTCCTAGGGGCAGCACCCTTGGCGGGGTTCCAAGGGGTTGAGCCCTTTCAAATCTAAGTTTTGAAGACAGAAATCCTACTAGTCGAAACTTAGAATCTGATTATTGCTGAATTTGGTTGAGCTAGTTGTCGGTGAAGTGCCTTCAGTTGTCGTTGAAGAGTCTTCAGTTGTTGCTGAAACGTCTTTAATGATGGTGTGTAGTGGTTTAGAATTTTGGATTTGGTTGTAACTGTCTTTTGACCTTATCTTAACGATTATAACCGTTAAACCATCAATAACCGTCGATTCCTCATTTAAATATGTAAAAAAATAATCTTGATATATATATATATATATATATATATATATATCATCTTTCACAGCCTTTGGAAATGAGAGAATAACCTCAAGAATTATCTCAATACGAAATTCGTGAACCCAAAGTTAATAAGGTCGAATTATTGTATTCTAAAAAAATGCTTTCCAACACGTTTCTTGAGTTATATCTAGTCCTATACACAATCCCTAATATAACCCCCCTTCCCTATACACACATGTATGATTAAATTGAAATTCCTAATAAATAACATATGATATTATTTAATTTTGTTTACTATATTGTATTACTAATGATTTGTTTGTACTACAAAATTTTAAAATTAACTAATTTTTAAAATGTCTTATTTGGTCATTTTACATTCTCAACTAACTTATGAATTAGTCTTTGTCAAACGTAATTAGTTCATCCACTAGCTTTCCAGCTAACATTTAACTTATCGGTTGGTTTTTCAAACATAATCCCGTAATTTAAAAATATTATGTACAAAAATTATTTAATGAATTTTCATAAATACACTAAAAAAATCCATTATTAGAATTTTGGTAAATCAGAAACAAAAAATTATTTACATTCTCACTTTTCAGTAAAGTAAAAGTTGTTTTCAAACATAACCCGTGTAAATAAGTTGATTTCATAGCCTTTCGGTGCACACATTCCCCATCACTATCAAATCCTTTCTTTTTGTTTTTTGGAATTTATACAATAATTTTTTTTTATCGATTTATTTCGAGTATTTAATATTCGATATATTTTATGAAATAAAAAATGGTTGGTATATATTTTGGTGGAACTCAATTTTGTCTAATCCTGACCTAATGTTTCACCAAACATGTGACAATAAATTCTTACTTTTATTTTGTCCTGCATACCAAATACAAAGGGAAATTAGCCGAATCAACCATACTACTATCATGAATTGGTCTCCTAGCTATTTCTCTTCTTAATTAACCCATATGTTATTACATCCACAAAACAATTTCTATTCAGGTCTGCAAGTGACACCTCCACAGTTTTTGTCCAGATCCATAAGTGAGGGAGGTACTACTTGCGGATCTGAGTAGAAATTGAAATTTGGTTGTTATTTAACTAGGTTTGCAAGTTAAGAGGTACCACTTAGACATAAAAGAAATAACTAAAAGACCAATTTGAATGAGTTTCACCGATAAGAAGGCAACTGATTTTACGGACTGGAATAAATAATTCAAGCATCTACTCAAATAAATAATTCAACATGAGAGACAAAGAATCTTTTCAAAAGGTTTTCAAATCCACATAAACAATCTTCTCTCTCATGCCTATAATATAAATCATGCCTTCTTCCTTCTTACAACAGTTTTCCATCCAAAAACTCAGCCATGGCCGTCGATGTTTGCTCCATCTCCGAAGTTTCAACAAGCCCAAGAATCTCATTCTCCCATGATCTCGATGATCCAGAAACCAAATCCGATTCGACCCACTCCATCAGATCCGACCAATTCCTTCTATCTCCCACTTTCCATTTCGATTTCTGCACCACTTCCACTTTCACACCTGCCGATGAGCTCTTCTCCAATGGCAAAATCCTCCCCACCCAAATCAAAAAGCCTCAAACGATTCAACTCCCCGATCCCAAAACTAAAATATCAGACACCCACAAAAAACGACTCAAGGAGTTCATATTCCATGGTGAGCAAGAAGACGAAGAGAAATCCACATTGAAATCATCATTCTGGCAATTCAGGCGAAGTGCAAGCCTTAATTGCGATAATGGCAAAGGACCAAAAGGGCTGCTTAGATCGTTATCGCTAAAGAGCTTATCACGAAGCAACTCAACGGGTTCGGCTCTGAATCCGAAGCGAAATTCGAGCCCGAAAACGATGGAAAAATCGAAAGATTTAAGAAGATGTTCGAGCTTAAGTCAACCTCCAGCTTCTTCTCATGTGTATTATACATATCAAAATTCAAATAACTCAAAGAGCTGCAAAGGAGGGATCAGAATAATTCCGATCTTGAACATTCCACCTGCTTATAATATTTCAAAGGGGACTATAAATTTCTTTGGGTTTGGTTCACTTTTTTGCAATGGAAAAGCTAAGAAGAAAACCAAATGATTCAGAGGAGGGTCTTTGTATTTTGTTTCTACTTCAATGTAATTTTGCTTCTTTTACTTGATATGATATACATATGCCCTTTATTAGGTTATAATTATATTAACATAAAATCAATCATTAGAGCAAATAATATATGTTTTAAAGCACGAATCTGATACTGGTTTAATTACGTTTAACTCAACTTAAAACCATGACCGAAATTTTTGGTAGCTTATAAGAAAGTTATAAATATGCTTTTCTATCCATTTGGATTTTGAAACGGGTTGTTACACAAAATTGATTTAGAAGTTATTGAATCAATATGTTGTTTTGGAATTTTGAAGCAGTACAGTACAATAGTCAATAAATGATTATATATTTATACAATCTTAAAAAACAGATAAATTTCTTAGAATTTCAAATAATACAATAGTTGTGACTTTGTTAATGAATTTCAGAACATAACCTAACTTATAAATTAAAGCATTGAAACACTAGTTAAAATAACGTTTTATGAGCTTGTGTAATTTTTTTTTCCAATTATAACTCTCATTAATATTTATTATTATTAATTATGAATAATAGTTATTATTAATTGAAAATGATTAATTAATTTAA